GTTAACTGTGTGCTGGGAGTGTTTTACTGGGCTGCAGGGGTGTGTGTTTCACTGTAAAGCACACTGCTCTGGATGGCTCTGCTCAGCCATCCAGAGCAGTGTGCCCAAGCTGACAGGGAGGAGGACTGGTAAACAAAGCAGCCCACCTCCCCGTTGGTGATCCTCGGCAATCACCGGGAATCAGCGGGTAATCGCCGACCGACACCCGGTGATTGACACAGCGTTCAGTGGCGCGGTTAGGGTGCGCGTGGCTCGTGCGTGCCCCCTACCCGAAAATACAAAATCATGTATATATACACGTGATTTTGCGCACCCATGCTGCCCAGTAGCAGTATTTCTGCTATAGGGCGGACGGTAAGTGGTTTTATTAAACTACTGTTTTTATTTGTTTTCATCTTTTCCTGCATCTTACTGAAACTTATCTCCTCCAGCCTCTTTCAGTCACTTCCTGTCTGCATACACTTGTTCCAAAATTATCTGCACATCATTCCTTCTTGATAGTGACTTGGTGGTAAATGGCTATGTGTATAGGTTTGGGCCCCTTATAGTCCTAATGAGTCGCATGTGTGACAGGTGGCTCAACTCACTAAACAATATCACATGTGATATTTGGATCATGTGACTCATTTGATCCAAATATCACATGCATTGCTGAAAAAGTTAATTCACTATCCGTTTATGTGGTATTTATTGCAAAAATAGCAAATGCACAGTAAATCCTGCATAAACTGATGTAAAAAAAGTCAATTCACTAAAAAAGTTAACAAATAAGTCGTGGTCTAGCCAAGTGCTATTTAACAAATGTATTAAATTAATAGCTGGTTGCTAAGGAGCTGGCACGTGGGAGTCCCTAACAACCAGTGAGTTAGCTGCTGTCAGCAGTGGGTTCCCAGAAGACAGTCGTATGTAAACAAATGAGCCAACAGTAAGAAAAAAAAACAGTGTGGGGTCCCCCCGCAATCCATATCAAGCCCATCAGGTATAGTATAGATTTTAAAGGGAACCCCACACTAACAAATAAAACACATGGTGTGGGTGACTCTCAATAGCCATACCAGGTCTTTCAGGTGTGGTATGAATTTTAACAGGGACCCCATTCCAAAAAAAAAAAAAAAAAAAAAAAATGCTTCTCCAAAATCCATACCAGACCCTAACCTTACCAGGCCACATGCCAGCATCACGGGGAGCATTTTCCCCTTCCCCAGCAAAGCATTTTGTTCCCATATTGATGAGGACAAGGGCTTCTTTCCCACAACCCTGGCTCAGTGGTTGTGGGGCTCTGCAGGCGGGGGGCTTTTTAGCATCTGGAAGCCGCCTTTAACAATAAGGGAGGCCTAGATCCCATACCCCTTATGTGAACGTGTATGGCCCAAAGGGCCTGGTATGAATTTGGGGAGGGGGCCCACGCCCTTTTTTAATTCTTTGGCATGAGGTCCCTCTTAAAATCCATACCAGACATGTTTGGCTATATATTGCTATCAGCCAGGAACCCCCAGCTGATAGGAGCAATGTCTCACTGGTTGTTAAGGATGGGGGGGGGGTGCCTGCTCCTTTAGAACCAGCCATTTATTGGTTGTTAAGGATGCTGGCTGGTGCTGGCCCCTTAACAACTAGCAAAAGAATGTGCATTATTCAACTAAAATACCGCACAATTTAGCCCTGATTCACACAGGAATTGCACTACATTCCTGTGCAAATCACATGCAATGTCTGTGCGGTGCAATTTGAGCCATACATTTTGTATGGCTCAAATCGCATTTGCACCAAAAAGATGCAGGACCCATTTTTTCCCTGCACCTGATTCGCATCCCATGGGTTTTTGCGATCTGTTTCGGGGGTCATTAATTTACCATTGACACCTGTTCCAGATCACATGATGATGCTGTGCACACAGGGCAATGCAGTGCAGGAAACACAAAGGATTTTGCTGCGTTTCCCGGAGCCCCAGTGTGAACCAGGGCTTAAAGGAATGGTGCATGTGGGTTTAAGGGTTCATGTCCATTGTTTTTCTTATGTTTTGGGGCTTTGGACATTTTTTGCCTAAGCCCCTGAAGTTCAATAAAAGCCTTGAGTCCATGCACACATAGGCTTTTAGGCAGTTTAGGACACAGAGATAGATAGCAGTCAAAGCAGAAGGGCCTTTGGCCATATAAACTGCAAATGCGCCTAAATGTGTCTCTTTAAAAGCACCTAAATGCCCTTGAGCGTTTTTTTTCATTTCAGGGAATAAATTACAATTCTGGCCAATGAAATAAATAAATGCCCAAACACGCTTGAAAGCATCTAAATGTGTTTTACAAATTGTGACTTATTTGCGTTTTTAACGCTGGTTTTTCCTGTGAGGAAAAAAAGCATTTATAATAAACCAGAGTGCATGAGGCCTAATGAAATTAATGTAATTTTGCCACGGTTTTGGTTATTTTATTTTAATTGAACTGACCCTAGTGTGACGACAGGAGTCAATTGTCATCCCATAAAAAAAAAGAGTTTTAAAACAAGGCAGGATCAAAGCTAAGGAATAAAAAAGATTGATAATTTTTAAAATGACAGTAAAGGTAGCCATCAGGGGCGGACTGACCCATTCGAGCACTCGGGCACTGCCCGAGGGCCCAGGGTCAGTAGGGAGCCCCATGAAATGCCCCTGGTACCTTTTTTATAGTCTTTTTTGAGTGCGGGCAAGGACACAGGGGCCCCATGATCCCCTATTGCCCTGGGGCCCCATGAGTTGTCAGTCCGCCCCTGCTAGCCATACACTACAAGAATTTCATTTGAAAATTTAAATTTCATGAACCTTTGTTTGATTTTCGAATCGTAAGTGGGGTCAAATCGACGTTCATTTTTTACCGCAGTGATGAGAACATTCGAAGGAGCAGGATGGAGAATTTTTCTCTAATGAATTTCTAACTGTATATCTGATTTTCATTTGGGAAATTGCATTGATGCCTAAACTGGATGTTTAAAATGAATGAAATTTTGAAGCATCTTTGAACTACATGCATGAAGTTATCGAACGTACTAGCGACAATTTTTGTACGAATGTTTATACCAGTGTTTGTTAAAAATATCTACTAGTGTATTGCAGCTTTATATGCTGGAGGGCCGCCAGTTTGACATCATTATGTTAAAGCATATATGAGATTTTAGTGATTAAGTTTACATGTAATTTTAAAATGCATAACAATTTACATGGTTACATAGTGCAAGGCTGTGGACTGGACAAAGTTCATTCTTGACGTATATCTAATACTGTCACAGAAAACACCCATCAGCTGAATGCAGCACCAATAGGGGCGATAGGAGCTTCCCCAAGCACACAGCAGATGAAGCTACTATTACTGCTATCAGTGACATAAGGTCACACAGACATCCGGTAGAGCGTGTGTCATAACCCTTGGCTGTAACCTAAGATCAAGTGACATTTCTGGGATATATAAATAATCACAAGAAGCATCCTGTTTGTGCTACAGAGACACACGCACACACTGCAGGACTGAGATTACCTTGCCCAGGGTAATTACGTCTGTCTTAGAAGCACATAGAACTACAAAAAAAAAAATATACAAAATATAGTTATTTCAAATGTTTAAAGGAGATCCATGGTTACAGCATACACTTTTTGTTTTATAACATCAGCTTCGTAATAGCAATACAAACAATAGTTTTATTTGACAATCCAATATAAGCTTACTCAGAGGCATAACTACAACCTTCAGGGCCCCGGTGCAAGAAACCATAAAGGGCCCCCCTGACCTCTGGTCTCAGTGCTCTTTCCTCCAAGAAAGGGGCGCTTTCCACCAATCCCGGGGCCCTTGACTCCCCTCATGGGGCCCCTAATTACGGTCCCGCAGCATCCACCTTCCTGCCATCTTGGGGCCTACCCACAGTGGCCAAATGCCAGGGTATTTGAATCCTTATGCGGCTAGCATTAGTAAACAGATAGGGAAGTATTGTATATCATATTTACTTGTTTTAAACATTTTTTTGCATTTCTTCACTTACTTCCATGGAGATATGGATTGGTGGGTGAGTGTGCACTAAATATTAAAAATAAGGTAAACAGCATTTTTTTTGTGTTGCTCAGATGCAGTGTAGTTCTGGTTTAATTGCCACCAAGTTAGTTGGATACAGACAGGTACTTCTTGCCCCTGCTAGCTGGGTCAGAAAACCTTGACTGGAATATTGTTATGTTAAATAAATGGGAATTTCCTGAATATAGACCTTATACAGATAGGTGCAGCTGTATTTCACCCGTACCAGAAGCAAAAACTATTAGGCAAGTATTCCTATGTTCTAATAATGTACTGCAGCTGAACATACCATCTTGAATGTGTATCTAAATCCTTGTGATACAGGTGTCTCTGTACTCTTGATATTATCTAATATGCACAGTGTCGGATACAATACCTAGGTCTGTGCTACTGTCTGTGTGTAGTGCAGCCTTTCTCAACCAGGGTGCCCAGGCACCCTGGGGTGCCTTGAGGTTTCTTCAGGGGTGCCTTGGCAAAATGTCTAAAAATTGCTCACAACTTGTATACAAGCCAGCGGGTGGAACAAGTCTTACCTTCTAGTTACACAAAGCCACAGGTTTCCATTGTGCACCATTACGACCTTCTAGCCCCTGGTGTCCTGACAACCAATGACATCATCAGATGATAAGGAGGATGTCAGCTGCCTGCACAGCATCCTAGTTTTCCCCCCCCCCCCCCCCCCCCCCCCCCCCCCCCCCCCCCCCCCCCCCCCCCCCCCCCCCCAACAGTGCTGGGGTCACATTAGCTTAGTGATGGAGAAAAACTGAGGGAGAGGAGAAACATTGGAATACTAATCAGTACTAGCACTAGTCATGTGCAAAAGTGTATTTGCATTGGAAAAATAAATCACCTCTAACGTTGGGTGTCCTATGTGTGTGGATGTTGCTGCATTATATAAAACTATTAGAACAGTTTTTCACATTTTAGAATGGGGTACCCTTTTAAAATTATGGACAGTTTTGAGGCACCCATTTTAAAACAGGGTGCCTCAAAACTGTCCATAATTTTAAAGGGTGCCTCGGGACTGTCCATAATTTTAAAGGGTGCCTCGGGACTGTCTATAATTTTAAAAGGTGTCTCGGGACTGTCCATAATTTTAAAGGGTGCCTCGGGACTGTCTATAATTTTAAAAGGTGCCTCGGGACTGTCCATAATTTTAAAGGGTGCCTTGACTGAAAAAAGGTTGGGAAACACTGGTATAATGGACACCTTTCAGTATATTTGTAGGTGAACCTGTTGATTGCAGCAGAGTTTATATGCAACTCCCATAATTTTAGTTGCCCCTTCTGTGTCCCTTTTATAGCTAGTTTTACCTCAAAGCTGAATAATCAACATAGGCGAGAGCCAGGTTAGGCATCTGACATCCACTTCTTGTAGTTAGAGGTCCAGCTGCATGACAGATTAGAAACTACTAGAAACTAAGGCACAGAGTAGATAGACTGACTCTGAGTTCCAGTGCCACACCACAGTTACTGCCAGTGAGAAGCTGTGTTTCAGACTGCTTGGATAACAGTTGGGAGATGTCCCCATCTTTGCTAAACTTGTCTTTAGGTCCCTAAACCAAGATGAATCGTGAACTTCCTCAGACGCCCCTGCAACTGAACTTTGCTGCAACTTTCATCTGGAGTTATATTTATTAATTAATATACTTTAATCAGCCATAACTTTATGACCACCCACTATATATTTGGTAGGTCTCTCTTTTGCCACCAAAACAGTCCTGACCCATCGAAGCATGACTGCCACTAGATCTCTGAAGGAATGCTGTGGTACTTAACACCTATTCGTCAGTAGCAGATCCTTTAAAGTGGTTCTAAAAGATTTTGATGGGCACAGACCTTGATCAAGAGAGGACTCAAGTAAGTGTTTAGTGGGAGGTTGGCTTGAGTAATATAACTACTGGGACATTTTTACCTTAGTGAGGAAAGACAAAACAGAGGGCGCACAGGCCTAGTGCATTACCATAAAAAATGTTTAATAAAAAATAAAGTAGGTGTTGTACTCACAAACGACAATATAGTCAAGGCACATCATAAAGAACAGCTGGGTCAACACCGCGCTGAGTAACAGTCCGCAATAGGGAGTTTAGACATCCAAAAGTCTGACGCGTTTCGAGGACTTGCCTCTTCCTCAGAGCCAACTGACCAAATGTCTGCTCCCTCTTTTATATGCTCACTACTAGTTAAACCAAAGGTCACATGGGCCATCCTGGACACTCCCCTGTGCAGGTGGAGGAGTCACAGGGGCAATTGACATAGTGTAAGTAAACACGAAAGGTCTATAAATATATATATATATATATATATATATATATATATATATGTATAAATAAAACCATTGAAACTAGTGACAATCATAAAATCATATGAACCATAAGAAGTGTGCATAGTGAAAAATAAATAAATGGAAAGTTACACATATATATAAAATAAAATAAAAATCCTTCCCTGGTGATGCACTGCACTGCTCGCCTTTAAATAAATGGATGGATGGATGAACAACGCTACGAAGCTGCCTAGTGCTCTGCTTGCCATAGACAACCATGGGACATGGATTTGATATAGAGAGTAGATCTGAAACCCAGCAGAGACACTTATTAATTCATAGAGATGCAGCCTACAGGGTGTGTGCTTATCATTCTAGTATAGTCATATGATGAAACGTAGGCATGTGTGGCAATGCAGTGCACCATGGATGGATATGCATATGCGATACTATATACAAGAACAAAGGAGATAAATCACTAGTAAAACATAAATGTTGATATAAAAACGTTACAAAAAACTTCTTAATATGGTTCACAAAGTTTAAATAAAATAAAATTAAATAAGTATTGTTACAATATAGTATAATATCTGGTAAAATTGGTATAGTGTATGGTATATGTGTGTATGCATAGACATGGAAGCATAAGAAATGTAAATATATAGGAAATTAAAGGAAAAAAAAATTATAATAATAAAAAAATAAAAATTAATAATTATATAAAAAATGTATAAAAGATGTATATGTGTGTTATATATAAGAATTAAATGTCAAAGGTGTTATGGAACAAGCACTTGCAGGATGAGAAAGCAGTGCTCGAAGAGAGCTCACTGGACAACATGCGTGCGCATGTGTGTGTAACACGTCCACATGAGCAACTGCTTTTTAGTAAAAAACATGTATAGTACATACATACATAAACCACACACACATTCCATATGGAAACTGAATGTCACACAAAAAAAATGGGTATTGGACCAATGTTACAAATGTGACCCATAGACACAAGCGCATGGGAATGCGATCATACATGGCAGAAAGAGGAGCGCCTAAGGGTGACACAATAAATATGAATTTGTGAGCAGGGAATGCATTAAGGTAAAAAAAAGTTTTGATTTTAGAACCACTTTAGGCAGGGATGTTGCAAGAGCAGGGAATGCAAATTAAGGTAAAAAAAAGTTTTGATTTTAGAACCAGTGGTTTGCTTTATTATGCCAGGATGTTCAGAAGATCTATCCGTCGACATTATCGCCTGAAGCCCAGGACATGTAGTTCTGGGCATCGGGCAGTGTATAGTTTTTTTTCTACCGTTAGCCCTGCTGCGGGCAAGCAGTGGGTTCACTTGTCAAGTGGAAGCATTCGGGCGACAGCCCCCCTCCCTGTGAGATCTCCCGGGCCCATCTGCAAGCCTGGGACCGGCTCACCACCGTTGGCTAGAGGGGAGGGAGGAGAGTGGACACGTCCGCTCCCCTCCCCTTCTTGTCCTGACCCAGAAGTGACATTATGATGTCACTTCTGGGTCCTCGTTGAGAGATTCCCGGCCATGGAAGCTGGGAAAAAATGTAATGCGGTGCGATGTGCACTGCATTACATTCAGTGGAGCACAGTGGGGACATGCAGGGTCTTTAGAAAAATAATAAAGAGGATCTGTCACCAAAAAATTATCACATAGGGGACTTTGTCCCTTATGTGATGAAAAAAAAAAGTAAAAAAAAAAAAATGTTTTTTTAATTGTAAAAAATGAAAGTTACACCCAAGCACATACCCATCCCCCTAAAAAAAAAATTGAGGCCCCTCATCCCCCACATATATGTACATAAAAGCACATGCTGAAGCGCCTACACATGAAAATGTCAATTACGATACACATGCCACTTATCGCCACGCATGCCAGAATAAGAGCAATTATTCTAGTACCAGACCTCCTCTGTAACGCTAAACTGATGACCTATAAGGAGCTTTAAAAGTGTCAACCTATAGAAAATATAGATTATTGAAGTTCGTCGCCATTTCACGAGCGCACACAAATTTAAGGTTTGACAAGCTGGATATCTATTTACTCACTGCAACCTCGTCTTTTATATTTTACAAAAAAATAGGGTAATTTATTGCTTTTTTGTGCTCTAAAATTAACTTACTTGTATTTGTTACTGAAATTTTGTGGAAATATCATGCGACATGAAAAATTGGATCTACCACTATTTTTTTCTCTAGGGTCTCTGCTTTCAGAAAATATATAATGTTTGGGGGGTTTATGTAATCTTCAGGCCTAAAATGATTTCTTAACCCCTTGACGCCGACGTAACACAAATATGCGGCCTCACGGATCTGGGCTTTTCCGTGGGGCCGCATATTTGCGTACCTGTCTTTGTGCTGGGAGCGCGCCGCTCTGCGCGCTCCCAGCACCAAGACCACGGTGTCACTGAGAGCCCCGGGTCCCGTTCTAACGATTGGGACCCGGGACTCCCGATTCCGGGTCACGTGATCGCTGTGATAGCCTCTGATTGGCTATCACAGTGATCAATCACTGTGCAGCCCGGCCCCCTTGTTTTCTCTCTCTCTATGAATGGAGAAGAGAGATACATTGTATCTCTCGAACTCCTGACATAGAGAGATAAAAAAAAAGTTTGTAAAAAAAAAAAAAAAGATAAATAAATATTAAAAAATAAAAGAAAAAATAAAGAAAAATACCTAGATCAAGGTTTGATCTAGTTCAGTACCAGGGTTAGTGTTTGGGTCAAAGGTCAGGGTCAAAGGTCAGGGTCAAAGGTCAGGATTTAAAAAAAAAATTGGTATCAGTGTCAGTTAGTGTTAATGTCAATGTCAGTGACAGTGTGTTTTATATAAAAAAAAAAAAGACAAAAACAAAATGCGCACTGTTGTTTCTGGACTGTACTACGGGTACAAACAACAAATAACATACACATATATGGTATCGCTGCGATCGTCAAGAACTGGAGAATGTATTTTGGGTTGTTCTTTGGTGGTAGGTTATGGTCGTAACAAGAAACACACAGTTAAATTTAAAAAAATGATTTTTTTTTACTATTTTGGTCCAGTTTTCCTTTAATAATAAAAAAAAATTAGGAGCTATCCATGACCATTTACCACCAAATGAAAGCCCAATTTGTCCTGAAAAAAACAAGGTATAATCCACCTGGATGTACAAAGTAGTTGTGACGATATGTACGGTTTTACTAACACGTCAACGTTGCAGAATTGTGCTTAGGCATTTAGATTTGTTTTACCCTTAGGCGTGAAGGGGTTAAACTTGTGCAAACGATGCAAAAATGGCTCTGGCATAAAAAGGGGATAAAGGAATAAAGGATAAGCCTGACCCACCTTTTCCTGAGCCAATCGGTGCTCATTACACTGCAAGGTCTCTCTCCTCCCTGCTAGTGGTGCGGTGCTGGAGACAGGCAGGGTGGGGAGAAGGAGATAAACAGCGCAATGTTAAAAATATTAAACTTTTAAGTCATCATAAAGCCCCTTTTGTTTTTAAAAGCCCCAGACATTCCTAATATCACCTCCGATTTAAATACAGCTATGGTTAAAAAAAAAAAAATTTTATCTGGACAAGTAGATTGGCATGAGGGACAAGTAGATTGGGGCACCGATTTAATCCCTGGACAATAGTTTTTTCAGAAATTTCCACACCCCTGTTTAGGTCCTGTGAGTTTTGAGGTGCAGCCTTCATAGATCAGACTTGTTTTTCCAGCAAATTCCACAGTGTGGCAGGGCACATTAACCTGCTAAAAGAGGCCACTGCCATCAGGGAATACAATTTCCATGAAGGGATGTACTTGGTCATGAACAATGTTTAGTTAGGTAGTACGTGTCAAGTAACATCCACATGAATGGCATGACCAAGGTTTTCAAGCAGAACATTACTCAAACCATTACACTGTTCCTGCCATCTTGCCTTCTTCCTATAGTGCTCCCTGGTGCCATCTCTTCCACAGGTAAATGATGCATATGCACCCAACCATCCACATGATGTAACAAAAAATATGATTCATCAGACCAGGCCACCTTATTCCATTGTTTCATGGTCCAGTTCTGAT